TCTTCTTTCACTTTGTACAGCGTTAGCCTTTCGGGTTTTCTAAAGGTACCACCATGTCTCTCTCTTAGAAGACGTGACACATTCTTTTTTGAGCAATAGATACGCGATATATATGTTGAATAGATGTGTATCTATTTACATATCTATTTCATAATGTATATATTAGAAGTATTGACCCTTCTAAAGCTGGAATGGAAACTCAATTATTTCGCTTGTTGTGTTGACATTCCCTTTCACTGATATACTTGATTATTGATTTTGCATCAATTCATCGTTGTAGTTGCTCAATTGTTGAAACAAGTATGATAAAAGGTGAAGAGAAGACGGCCCAAACGATACAAGTTTCTATCCGGTCTAAAATGGAAAATGCTGATGACCACACCAAAAAGTATCAAGATTCATGTTCAGCGAAAATGAGGAGACAAAGGTCTGTGAAAAACTTTGATTTACGCAGAGTGACTGAACTTCTACGGGAAATCATACTTGAAGAGAGACCTCATTTCCGGTACCAACTTAACAAGTCGTCAAAAGATGCAGCTAGGGAAAAATGGAGTGACCTACACGGAGACACCTACATCTTCGACTCTGCTGAACAATTTCTGTGCGTTGAAACGGAACGCCTGCGGGATGCATTGGATAATATAAATAGTGTTGAGAGCAAGGTATAATAAAGCTTGGAACGTGACCAGTTATTCCAACACCTTAGAAGAAGAATTCCTTCTTTCGAATACTAGCTATTTTTCACATGAGTCTTTGTTCTTTGTTCTCCCAAGCTAGTTATCGTTTTACTCGATTATACGTGGTCCTGCAATAAATGCTGCACCCGATCAGAAGAAGACAGTGTTTTCGAGAGGATTCTAAAAGAAAAAATTAGAAAAATAACAACTACGGCATAACTCGTTAATCTACACCATCCTTGATGTAATTTTTCAACAACGAGTGCGTGAGTCCAAGGTCCAGTGACAACACAGATCTTGACACAGAGAAAACAATGAAAGCACGAGGCCGTAGGCGAACCGCATTGAGGTTTTTAAGTGTATGAATACAGCGATGAAGCCCGAGTTTTTCATATGGGCTACAAGATTCTTAACTCTGCTTTAGTAATCAGGATATTTTGTTTCAGGGCTCAAATTTTCCTTGGTGTTATGCGAGTCGTACAAATCAAAATTTTTCACGTTAAATTCATTTTTGCTTGTGTTCAGTCATATTTACTGGTGAAGATGGCAGACTCCTAAAAACTAGAGATGATTCAAAGTTTTTAGATTAGGTCAACAATTTACGAAACAAAATGGGTAACTTTAATATTTCACGAATGGCGAGGAGGTCTTCGTTGATGGGAGAAAATGAAATTGTATTGTGGCCAATACTAATTAAAAGTAATTTTCTTGTGTTGGTTTGTTTTCCATTCATGCGTGAGTCCAAGGTCCAGTGACAACACAGATGAAATGAAAATCATTCGTGCTTTGGATATCCCCACAGGTAACCCAGGCTCGCACAGTGAGCCGCCCCAAATATAGAAATTCGTTTACGTTGTACAGTAGGCGAAATATAAGGAATAAACACTCGCAATATCGACCTGAAAAGTTGATCTAATTTTGGATAAAAACAAATTTATCTCGCTACAGTGGTTGTTCTTTTGCAGCGGTGAGTTTATGGGGTTTATGGGGATAGGTAAAAAATTGGGGTTACTGGCTCGTCTTTAATTTTCCCAGGTCACTCACTATGAAAACTTTATACTTCTAACTGCCATGTGTCGCTAGGTTACCCCATGTCTCACCCACCATAATTTCCATAGGCGGAAATGTAGTGGTTAGTAAATTTACCAAGTGTCTCGTCTTTCCTGAATTTGCCGGTCCAACTGTCAATGCATTTAATGGTATATTCTCAGGATTCAATTATTTTTCATCTCATGTTTTATTAAGTAACACTCTTCAGTTCTCTGTTCGCGACGATGAACTGAGTGACTGAGAGGATAAAGATGTGGCATTTCACATTCCCTGAAACTGACCCCTTCCTACTAAGCTGAACTCCCTCTTTCGTATTTACCAGTCTCAATCCTGAATCGTGAAGGTCACTGTCTTTCATGCTTCCGAGACTGAGCGCTGTTTTCCTTCTCAATTCTTCTATAGACTTCTTTCCAAAGATCCCTCCCTTTCGTTCCTTGACTGAATACCTTATTTCGAATTCCATTCACAACCATGTTCACTTCAGTGACGTCAAGATTCAATGTCTTTTCACTCTCTTTCTCTCACCAACTGCGCATGTCTCATAGAATAGGGGGAGCCTTTTCATTAACCTCCTCGGAGCATTGATACTTTTGTCGATGATCGTGTCAGATCCTTTCGATACTGAGAGTGTCTTGTTGCGAGTTACATGCTCATACCTGAACTCCCTTCTATTCAAGTAATTTTATCTCGCTTCCTCGGCAAGTTATGGGCCTTGAATAACTTCATATTACAATATTGGCGCGGGTGCAAGCCTGAGCTCAAAAACAAGTTCATCAGGAAGTACTCTTAGAAAGAGGACTCCATGATCTTTCAAAATTTCATGATCTATTGTAATGCTAAACTTATCTCATAAAAAAAAATTGAGCTTGTTCCCCTTGAGGACTCCTCCAGCTGAAGTTTTCTTGTCTCCAGCAATGCATCTGATTCTTAAAAGATCTTAAGATTGAATACCTTCACTCACCCTGTTTGCTCTCTCACTTTAAGTCAAGAAAAGGTCTTCATAGAGCTTAAAGATTCCTGTATTGAGATTTAACAATTAAAATGGTCCAACTAGTGGTAGAAATGGTCTGGTCTAACTAGATAAAACGGTTTAGCTAAATATAATGATGCAATCGCATTGAATGATGTAAAGATATAAACTGATCCAACCAGCTGAAATACAAAAAACCAATTAAAATGTTCCAACTGGTTAAAAAAAATTAAAGGGTCCAACTTGTTGAAACGGTCCGGTCCATTCAAATGTAACTAGATAAAATAATCGAACTTGTTTAAAGAATCCAATTTGTTATAATGGTTGAACCATAACTGGATAAAATGGTCCGACCACATAAAATTTTTCAACGCGACGAACTGATCCAACTCGTTAAAATGCTCCAATTGATTAAAGTGTGGTAACAAGCTGAAATAATCCAACCGCTTGAAATGGCCAAACTAGTAAGAGGTTCCAACTAGTGGTAATAATGCGTCCTTCTAACTAGATGATATGGTCCAACTGGTTAAGGAAGTCCAATCAATTAAAAATTATCTTAACAGATAAAATGGTTCAGCCGTTCTAAATAGTCTTAGTAAATAAAATGGGACATCTTGTTCAAATGGGCCAACTGATTGAAATGACCCAACTATATAAAACGGTGAAATTTGTTTAAATGGCTCAATTTATTAAAATGGAGAAACCAGTTAAAAATGGTGCAACTGCGTAAAATAATATAGCTAGAAAAAAAATCCAACAGCTTAAAGTGGTCGAACTAGTTAAGGTGATACAACTACATTAAATGGTCTAACTAGATAAAATGGTTTTACTGTTTGAAATGGTCCAGTTGGTTAAAATGGGGTAAGTGGATATTTAGCTCCAACAGGCTGACATGGTACTACCTTTTAAAATGGTCTTAATAGATAAAACTGTTCAGCCGGTTAAAATGGTCGAATTGGTTAGATTGATAAAATGATCAAACTGGTAGAAATAGCCCAATTTGTTAAAATGGTCACATCAGTTAAAACGGTTTAACCATATAAAATGCTCCAACCACATAAAATAGTCTAACTTGAATAAATGCTTCAACTAGTTAAAGTAGTCCTATTAGTTTTAACCAAACAAAACGCTCCAATTATATAAATACTTTAACTAGACAAAATGGTCCAACTGGTTTAAATGAACTAACCAATCCAAATGGTCAAGCATGTATAATGGTCCAACACCAAACTAGATAAAATGGTTCTACCAATGAAAATGGTCAAATTAGCTAAAATGGTTGATGATGAATTGCTTGATTATTTTCAGTGGAATTTTATATCAGCGTTACTTGTGGAACATGACGCCAGTAAGTCCCATGAAAAAAGAAAGTTGTTGTCTATACATTTTTAACACATGGAGCAACAGTCAAATGCATAAACCTAAAGAAAGTTTAATATTTTCCATGGATAATGTTCTAGGCAGCCAAAATTTCATGTTCTCAAACCAAAAGCGAGCCAATGTCGAGCAACTGTTTCTCCAATGAGCTTGCTTTGCATTTAGGTAGTATTTCATCCTTCACTTTCTGTTTCACTCTTTTCTTCCAACAGGAGCATTTCAGTAGGCTTAAACTGGTAAGAGGCCTAATGCAACATCAACTATAATCGAGTTGAACTTTAAGCATTTTCCTCTGACTAAAGCCCTTGCCGAACACTCCGAGGCTTAAGCTCGTTGGCTCCACAACCTTTTCCTTTCTTATTAAGGTTGGTGGCACGACAAATTCACCGAAGTACAAAATTTTCTATTACAGATTTCTTTAAGTATTTGGAATTGAAACTCTAATATTTTTACTTCCACAAAACCATTTGGAAACCATTGAAACCTCATCTTTCCTCTGTAAGGGACAATAAAACGGTGGAATGGACAGTTCAAACTGACAACCATACTTGCCTAATAGTTTCTCATGCATTACTTGAACTCGGCCATCCTTGTCAATTCATTTACGAGACTTCCTCCATGTCGACCGTTTCTTTAGGCGCTAGAGCATTGTAATTATTGGTGCTCAATCAAAACAAATAGTGCTTTTCAAGTTTTGTCACGACGGTAAAACGTTGGGCAGGCACAAGTGATTGCGCAAGTGGCTGGCCACGCTAAACTTTCCCGCGCCAAAATTTCAAAGGAAAATGTAAGAAACAACTGCCGTCATAAGAAATTAAGAAAAACTCAAACGTTCATAGAGATTGGTAAAGCAAAAAAAAAGAGAGAAAAGGAAACCCGGAGACTTTTTGAACACAAAGTTCACTCAATTACAGATATTCTGATGATTTATCATGTTGTTTTAAGCTTTATTGGTTTAAAAAACACTGTGACTTACTGGCTTGTGCGGTTTTTCGTATCTCCTAGGAGACAGCTTTGCTAAGACAGCCTCAAAGCCATTAAAACGCTCGCCTATGTCTAGATGTTTGACCACTGTGCTATATTTTCCATTCTTGTTATGTTTGTAATATGTGTACATTAGAAGCCTTCTCATTAGACGACGACAAAAAACATCGCAATGAAACAGGTTTTTCTCGAAAGACCAAATTCTTCTGTGGAAATACTAACTGCATGATTCCACAATTAAGTGCTAATGAGTATTCATCATCTCAGCCTCCTTTTCTTTCTGGGTTTCTTGACCTTTGCGAACCCTTTACCAAACCAACCTGGATGTTTAGGATTTGAGAGAACACCTTTCTCAGTTTTACAACAAGACGAGTTATTGTCCTCACAGTTATTACATTCTAGTCCTTCAGTTACCACAGTGTCAGTTTTGACATATTCAAGGGACTGGTTACATTGCTGGACTGTAACAGTTAAGCATTTGGTGCTAAAAGTGTCCAATTCATGGGTCCTCAGTGGCGTTGAGAGAGTAAAAAGAGAGTCTTTACATCTACAAGACAACCAAAAAAAAAAAACATAGGTCAGTTCATCTCACAACGACCATGTATTTTCTGCAAAACAAAGAGCTATTTTTTTAAGAATTGTAAAGAATCTTGCAGAGGAATTGCAATGAATATTACAAAAAACCAGTTCATCTATTTAAAGAGTTTAAAAATGCATCATCTGTTTTGAATTTTTGAGTGTATGACATTTTGTAACTGTCATCTTTGGCTTTTTATGGGCTATAGGTGAACTACAATCGCATATGTACCGAATTCACCCGCGAATAGGTGGCATCCGTGTATAAGCCACACCCCCAAACTTTGAAAAGATAATTAGTAAATTGTGATCAGAAATCATGCAGCTGTCGTAATGAAACCCACTAACAAAGAACAGTTGTAAAATTTATAAAGCCAGCTTAGAATAAAATGAACGAAAGGCGACAGTGGCCTTCACTTGGGCTTCCCTCTATAATTGGGGTGTTGTTAAACAGAGTAACTCAGTAACGAGTAATGGAGTAAAAAGAAAACAAGTAATGGCATTGAGTGATTCCATGCGTTTTGGAAGCTTCTGGAGCAATCAGGATTTACTTTAGTTCTTTCAATTGCTTCTCACCTTTAATACGCAAATTTTCATCATAAAACTTCTTTTCAGAGTTTATTCTAGGCACCGTTGAACAAAAAAAATTCAAGTTTAGGCGCAAACCCAACACTATTTTGAACAATTGCGATTGTTTATGATCTGATATGAAACATGAGCCGTGGAAACAGTTGAGGGTAATTGGCTGATTGGTTTGGTTCAATTATTTTGAGTTGACGTTAACGTTTGGATCGATTAGTATAAGCTATTTTTAAACACTTTAACAGACCAGAATAATCGTATGCTTTTTAAAATCCACGGAATTGACTGCTGCCTATCTTTAATTTCATTCAGTAACAAAAAGGAAAGCTGCAGTCACAAATAGAATATTCCGAAATATATCGTTTTAAGGCTGGAGACTAGGAAGTTTGTTATCAACTCCAAGAAGGAGAAACCTCTGTATACAAAGATTGTTGCCTTACAATGAATATACAACAATTAAAGTGTAAGACAAAACTTTGAGCTATCATGTATAATAACGAGGTGTCAAAACACTTTCACCTCCATTTAAGAAGCACCCTAACTTTTATCTTACTTTTCTGGTTTAAACTGTGTCCTATCTGAGGGTAAATGGGTACTTAACACATTAAAAAATTAATAATTTTCACATAATTCATGCAATTCATTGGAAGGCACTGGCACATTCTTCATCAATATGTCACCCCAAAAGATACTACAAGAAACAATTTCTTTTTCCTTAAGCCACAATGTAAATAGGAAACCAAGGAAATAAAACTGAAAAACAACTTAAATAAGCATGTTTTTTTGAAATGAGCTAAAAGAGGAAAATTAATATAACCATACTCCTGCTTTCATAAAAAATGTTCACTTCGTGAATGAAAAGAGAACAAGAGCAAAAATATGCAAAAATCTGACATTAACACTCCTCTGCAAGTATCAGAAAACATGGTGAATAAGCTGTCAAGACAAACTGTTCAAAATATGACAAAGTATTCTGTATACTTGTACAAAAATGGCCATCCACAACTCCTGTTAGCAGTTCACTTAGATCAAGGACATTTAGAGTAAAATAAACAAAAGTACAGAGCCAAACAAACCTTTTATACTCGGGAATACCAAGTCCAAGTTTAGCCATAACTCTCTCCATTACATCATCACAGCGACCTAAGAAACAGGTTGTGAGTAGGCCATTTCTTTATGGAGACATAAATTTGCTACCCGATTACCAGCATATGGGTAATTAGTGAAAGGGTTATTTTAACTACCCTTAGTTGTTTGTGAAGGAAAACGCAATTGCAAATCATACATCTCCATAAACTAGATTTTCAGAGGTTGGCACCTCCAGGCCTAACATCAGCACAATGATCACTTGATGGCAATGAAATTTTGACAGACATATTCGCTATGAGAAGCCATGTAATAATATTTTACAATATAAGTAATACAACTCATCAACATTTTGTTGATGTGTGAAACTCACCACTGATCTTTAGTGCCGCAAGGTCGTCCTTTGGAGTCCACTGAAGTGTAAAAATATGATTTGTGAAAGATTCAATTTTGATCAAAACAGGAAGCACTTAAAAATTCGCAGAAATTTAATTAAATTGCATGCATCATGTGTAAAATTATTTAATCACTCCAAACCACATAAATTGATAGATTTATATACTGATACTCTGACGGTATCGATTGTGGCCTTGAAAGCAGATAGTGATGAAAGCAATAGATACAGTTCCACATCAAATGGTGCATGTTACATCCACCTCAATGTAAATGTAGCAAACAAAATTATTACTAAAATGAAACCTGTATTTCATACACTCAATTGCTTTCAAAATCAAAGACTGAAGGGACACTATACAATGTAGGAGAAAGTAGTTCAAGGTGTTTCTGTCCATGTAAATTTAAGGGCTATTTGGTGATATACTGTTTAAATAAGATTTTGACTGTGGCTTGTATAGTGAATAATACATAAGTGCATGTAGATATGGAATTTCTCTTCCAGTGTTCAACTCGATAGCTTACAAGTGAGCACAGCAAACAAGTGAGATGTCGAGTTGAACATGAGAAGAGATATTCCATATCTACAAGCAACCATGTATTATTTTGTTTATCAAATAAACACAATAGCCCTAAACTGATGAGGAAAGTTGACTTTATTTACAAATGAAAAAAGGATCGACAATCCCCAAACAAAAATCATAATTAAAAGTACATCGGTGATAAAGCTCAATATGAAAAAAAAAAAGCACTGCTTCACTGACTACAAAACAACAATGGACATAATTTTCAATAAACAAAATTGTCAGTTGTTGACTTTTTCATTACATATAGAAATCTTTCCATGACATAGCTAAAATCGGCCTGTGGCAAATCTTCCAGTTGTCAATTTTCGTTCTCAGCCACGAGAAATGCCATTACAAAAGTCAATGAATACATAACTTTCAGTTTTCTTTTCAAATTGAGGTTTTTCTTTCTCTTTTAGGAAAGTTTGAACATTACTGTCTGTAAGCCATTTTCAATGATTTAGCAGCCATACTACAAGGAAATTCTGACAAACATCCATGAACAGAGAATGGTGAAGGCTTTGCCTTTCATTCATCAACCTGACCAATTGATGCAAAAGGCAAGTGACATGTCAGCAGCTGATTGGCAATATCAAACACACATGAAAAAAATATAGTATTTTTTCAAGTGTGTTGTTAGGGCTTTTCTTAGGGCTGGAAATCTTTGTATATCACCGTAGTTTATGTGACAAAAATCTTTCTTCTACACTTGGCAAATTGTTGAGATGTTTATTTGCTGATGTGCTAAGTTCCTCTTAGGAGATATTCTCTACATCGTAGTGTCATCAAAACATTTACTTGACATAATTCTAGACAATAAATAAGTTGTCAAATACATGTACTTGTGAAAAACAGCTCATAGTGAGTATGAGGCAGCATTTAGTGGCAAAAGCAGTCTGCAAAACTTTTGTTTTGGCTTCAGTAACTCTGTGACTTTTTGGATTATTCATCAAAGTAACTGAAGCCACTAAATTTAAATATTGAATAGACAAGATAACTCGTTATATAATTCCTACTGAAACTACTGTATTACTCATTTTTCATGTAGAGCTCTCCCTTGGATTTTTTTTCCATTTTCCTTGTCAAGATTTAGGAGTTCTTTGGCAAAAATATTTTTTTTCTATAAATTTTTGCCTTCATTTTAATTTATAACATTTTTTTTCTGCCATTTTATTTTAATTTCTACTCAGATCCTTGGTAAGATTTCATTCATAAATTCAGTCATTGTAAGTTTTTCATTTTCTTTTGGGCAAGGTGATTGGTTTCTCATGCTTTTGTAAAGGGCTTTAATGAAAACCAGCAACTACAAGCAACAGAATACTTCTTAAAACATTATAAATCCACTTTGGATGTTGGAAGAAAACTCTCAAAGCTCTCCTTGTGTTCTACTAACATATAAAACCCTGGAATATGAGTTCTATTGCTTAAATAAATAATAAATAAATAAAAAACAAACAACTAGATAAACAAATTATCTCCATATGTAATTGTACATATATGGAAAGCCATGAAGAGAATATTAAAAAATAAGGAAAATACAAAAATTAAATGAGTCATCCCCCATTCCCCAACATACACACAATTTAAAAACTGACTTTTAGCCAGAACCTAGTGACAAATTACATCTGGAAGTACACATATGGCCAAAGCTGCTATAAGAAAGTAAATTTTAGGAAATCAAACAGAAAGAGTATGCATTTTCATATTTCTTCTGAAAATTTGTCACCCAGACCACTTTGGTTTGTTGGTAAACCCAATGATCCAAAATGTCTTTAAGTTTGGTGAACCTTAGAGAAATGGCACTATTTTCACTGTACTGTCACACTATCAAGTCATCAAGTTACCAGTCATAATGCTACATTACCTGTAGGTTAACAATATAAAGGCTGGGTCTCCTTGTCTTCACTCTACTCATCCCCCATAAAGCATGGTACCTCTTTAGCACCTTTGGAAAAATAAAGTAAAAAACACATTAAGAAAGTGAAGGCTTTATTGTTAAAACTAACTTACGACTAGCCTGTTTCAGAATTTTGGTTTTCTGGAGATTGTTTCCAAATAGCATCACAGGCATTAGAAATGATAAAATGGTGACCATGTTGGTGAACAAGGTTCATCCTGTGCAAATTGAACATTCCTATGGTGCCATAGCACAGACCGACCTACACAATCTCTCTTTTTTTCATTTTTCATGCCTGCACCACAGGTAGGAATGCCTTTGGGTTTGGGGTAACATGAAGTTAGTTATTTTATTTACAATGGTCAGTTCCTCCTAGGGGTTTGCTGCTGATAAGAGGGGATCATCCATCCCAAAAGCTTACCAAATTGCTTGAGACAACAAAGAGAACTAGGGGTAATTACACCTTTTATATCTGCCTACCAATGGGGTGGATTTAGGGTATTAAAAGTTAACAATCATTGAGTTTATTATATATTTTCTGTAGAGATCACCATATGAAATGACTGATGTCATGCAGACTAAACCCAACCATTTTTTGGGATGTCATGCAGCACCTTCTGACAAAATTTTACAATGTGGAACACTTAATGAGAGAACAGATGATTACTTTTCCCTGTTTGCAAGATGTGGGCTTGGGATGCTTCTATTGCAAGTTAATTCAATTGATTTGCTGAGTCTTTTTAATTTCAATTATTAATGACAAGACTGTGAACTTTAGGTAGAGTTCATCTCCTTCAGGAACAACACATCTCAGCCTCCAAGAAACTATATGGAGATACTGGAGTGTGGACAGTGGAAAAGAAAGCTAGTTCACAGTATCTTTACATTTCATTCAAACCACGGAAACAAAAAATGAATGGTGAAGTATTTTAAAATAAGATATTTGGGCAAAGGTAGCAAGATTATGGTGGAAACTTCAGTATGAGTCTTGTTAATATGATGAATGTTTTTGCTTGTTGAATATCTGGCTCAGGCTCCCAATAATGCACCTCCTCTTGTACATTAAAATATAGTACAAAAAAAACCAAAAGTTCATCTTTCCATAAATACCTTTAAGCTGGATCCCAGACAAAGAATACAATCTGCAATTTTGGCCTTCTCTAATGCTCCTTGCCAGTTTAAAGGCCAATGCAGGTTACCCTTTTCACCGAAATGAACTATGGTATCTCTTAGCTGTGAGCCACATTCACAACAATATCGATTTGTTTGATGCCTCCTCAGTCTTGTATTTTCTGTCACATCAAATAGACGATAGTAAGTTCTGTCCTTCTCTTCACATTCTGTGCACACCTGCAGTAAAAATGAATGATAGTATTGTTATTTACCTGTTCAGAAACTAAAACAATCAGAATGCTCCAACCCTGTGACAAGTGTCCTCCCAGGGCAATATAATATTTCATTTAACTAATGTGTGATATTATCTTTTCCAAAATACAAAAGCTGAATTGTCATCTATAACAGCTTTAAACAAATTTTGTGCATGGTTACTATTAAGCACTGTTGCCTACAAGTAGAACCATTATGATCCATTTGTTGTGTTTAGAGCCTATCAGTCATCATTTCATAGAAACACTATTCAGCACAGTAATAAGATGATCAATCACACCTCAACAAACATGTTCCCATGGATCTCAGACAAAGCTTCTGGTGGAAGACCACTTCTGACATGCAGGCCATCACAATTCTGTGACACCACATGTTTCACCTGAAAAATAAAATGAAATGGCCACATGGAAGAATTCCTCTTTTGAACTCAAAAGTTTTACATTCATGAAAGTACTAAATCTGCAGGACAACCGAATAAAATGCAAGAACATTGTCCTATGGTATTGATATCACCACATGCAAAACTGAATTCTTTACCACTCATTTCATCAATAGATATTTACTCTGCATCAGCCATATACCAAAAGAAATTTACTTATTTTGTTTTTACAATCCTCTTCTAGAAGCCACTTCTGGAAAATCCCTTCTTTTTCTGATTTTTTTTAATGTTAATGCTAATTTATCACCAGGCTGAAAGACATCAATTCTTGCAAGGCTAAGAGCATAATAAACCAGAGTCAAATTTTGGTTCATTTTCTTACTTTTGCTCAGTTTGTATAGTTTTTTGGGTTGAAAATCATTCAGAAACCATGTTTCTTCTTTTTTTTCCCTAGTTCACATTTCACTTTCAATATTTCTGAAATACTCTTTGCGCACATGTAGCGAAAACATCCTTCTTTGAGGTGTAAAAAAAAAATGTTTACCAATTAATTTAGGAGGGTTTTCTAAACTGTGTGATGTATATAAATGGCCTATACCAGTATCATATGTGCAACAAGCCACACCATGCAATTGTGCATGGTGTGGCTTGTTCACAAAGTGATCCTGCATAATATATCCTCCACTACCCCTTTTGCAATGTTGGTAGCTAAGTATTACCATGTACAAAACTTAGATAAACAACATTGAATTGAGGAAGAGGGGCAACATTTAATTTTTTTGAGAAGGGGGGCAGCACTTTAATTTTTTTGCTCAAGGTGTTCCAAAAATTTTGAACTGGTTATAGCACCATTGTTCAAAGCTAGTTCAGCAAAACAGAAGAAGAGGGTGAATTTCAGTGTATTCCCTGCTACAAAAGTCTAAAGAGAGGTTATGAATGACAACTAAGGCTCTGGGTTAAAGTTGAACCTTTCACAATCTCCTTCCAGTAGTTTGTGCACCACAAGGATTAAATTACTTGCATTAAATTACAGTTACGGTGCATTTTTATTGTTTTTCATCGCCCTAAACATAATGCTTAAACTCGACCACGTTTCCTGAGTCATGCAAAAATGGGGTCATGCTTTCAAATGACTGGTTTTTAACTGAGGTACAAGAAAAATGTTCACTTCCATCATTTTTGCATGCAATTGGAAGATAAGCTACACACTAACCAGCCCTTCTTGATAAAGCTTTATAATGCTCATATGAGTTAACGTCGGATCAGCATCTGTCAGATTATAGGAGCTGAAAAAAATATGCAGGCTAAATAATTTACAAAAAAAATCCTTGGAGTCCTTAGAGGAGACTTGCAATGATCATGCAATACAGAGCAGATCCCTGTATGAGGAAATATATTATGGGAAACGTGACTTAAATGGGGCTAAGTAAATTGCTATGCATGTGCCAAGAGGAAGAGGTTAAAGTGGTAATTCTAGATTTCACAAGAAAAGGGCTAACAAGAGAAACAGTGACATTTTCTGAATTCTGCTGGTGAAAATGGGAGTTGACCACTTGTAAATGAGATTTGGAAATAATGGGTTATGGAATGGAGTTGGTACCCCCCTCATCAGGACTAATCCACTCAGATGGAAACCATGCCTGGGCTAGACAATTTCACAAATAAAACTTTTCTTTGAGTGATTTTAAAGCTAGAAATCCATGGAACTGTATGCATCACAAGAAATGACTAAATTCTCTTTAACTATTAAAATAACTGTAGTAATTTCATTAGATGTAAACAGTTTCATGATAATTACTTCTCTTTGTCAAAGAATTTTCCAAGGTCCAAGGGGATGAAGAGAAAATTAAACAATCCATTTTTTTCAAATCAACATTCCTAATAAGTTGAAATTTCGAATTACCTGCTAAATTAGTTAAATGAGAAACCTGTTCGCATTAATTAATTAATAATAACATATACTATTTAATAAAAACTCCATCGTGTTTTACCCTATATTTTCTCCTCGTGAAAGACGAGTCCAGACTCCGTCAGGGCCCCTATAGTTGTTATACAAATTAAATGTAAGCTAACATGTAAATAAAAATAGGAGATATCATATAAATATCATAAAATACTATAACTAAGGCATTTAGAGGATCTACAACGATATTAAAACGGTGTTATTCCGACATAGCATTCACCAACCTGTAATCAGGGATCGAAGCTGCCTGGGAGAAAAAGGAAAAGTCTCGTTTAATTCTTTTGACGAAAAAAAAATTGAAAAGGAGAAAAATTGAATGCAAAGAAGGAGTCACCATCAGTGGAACCTACCGTACTCACTCCAGCACCAGTGTAAACAACAAGACATTTTGCCTTAATAATCGCTTCGGCAAGTTCAGTTGTTTTTTGATCCAATACATCTGGAGGATCTAGCACCTATTTTCCAAGGTCAAACGAAAGTAAAAAATTAAAAATAAATCTTAGGAAAGAAAAAGGATGAAACAAACTCTTCGATACAAAGCTCACCTCTTCAACTCGACGCTTGGCTTGCTCTTGTCGCCAAGATCTCTTCTCGATTTCTTGGACTATTTCTTGGGAGTTTGCCATCATTTGGATCTCTTCGTCATTTCTCAGTGAAGGATCTTTCTTTAAAATTTGTCTAATATTGTTATATCGTTCTTTAGCCTCAAATCTAACAAAAATGTCTGCTCTTTGTGCCAACTTCCTCTTCTCACGAAATCCTACTACAGCCATCTTGGAGATTGTGATTGCAACTCGTTTCCAGACTCCGCTCACTCAATGAGCAGGGAGGGTTTCCAAGTATCACTGCTATGTCGCGAGGAATCATGTCTTCATTTTCTTCTTCAACCCTTCGGTTTTGCAAAGGTTACTTCCTCTGGAGAAGGATTCCTCTAAATTACAGCACTAACGTTCTCTTTTTGAGAAAGATATTTATTTCAACGTCATCGGCCGTCAATCGCTTTTGCCAGCCAGAGGGAAAACATTATGTGTCTCCACAGAACATCTCTCCAAATGACAATCAAGTACTCTATCGTTTTAAATGGATGAAACACATTCGTTTCATATCTAGAGTGAAAATCTTACACGTGGCTTTAATGACAAGTTTCACTTGCCCAATAACCTACTGGTACTTATGTGGAGACATATCACTTAACTCCTTCATTTGTGCTGTTACCGGAGCTACTGGTACAACAGCTGGTTTTGTTGCTTTGAGCTATTTTTTTCGTCGAGTTATTGGTGAACTTTCTTTCCACGAAGCCACTCAACAAGTAACAATTTCAAGTCTGACGTTTTGGGGAAATCGTCGCAACAGAACCTTCCATCTTGAGAGCTTTGTTCCAATTAGTGACTCAGGAATAGACTTAAATAATTTTTTTCATACGTTAGAGGTTTATGGTTGTAAAGACAATCGCAAGGAAAGCTATCTTTTGAATTTTCGACATTGTAAGATTTTCGATGGAAAGTTTTTCACTGTTACTGGATTGCCTAAAGATATAATTGGTCAAGGAGAGAGTGTATTTTCGCCAAAGAACGTATCTCGTTAATTTGGTTACTAGTAATCTTGCTCTAAGGCAAGTTTGCCCCCTAGTGTAAAAGGAGTTCGCTCCAGTCTTCATCAGTTCGCCCCCAAATCATTCAACTCGTTGAGTATGACAGAACATATTCCTTTTCCTTCGAAATCGTGTTTTTTTTCTCTAAATCAAACGAGGTAACTAGTTCTTAGAAATTGCTTCTACCAAAAGGACAAAGTTGTGTCAAACCCTTCAGATTGAGACTGTAATAATGTAGCGACCTTGCATTACTTGTGCTTTAGCTAACATGGCTAGGCAATTTCATGTTGATCAAATTTTGTTATGGTTTTGCAGTGAAATTGCTCATTAGTGGGAATATATCATGGTTTTGACAGGAAATGAATAGATTCTGTGGTAAAGGAAACAAGTTGAGAGATTTGGGGGTGAACTGGTAAAGGTGATGTGGAACTTGTTTTACACTAGGGAGCGAACTTGCAAAGGTGGTAGGGTACTTGCTGTGGGTTGAAACCACCATAAACCATTAATATTCAAGGTTTACCAAAAGGATCATTTCTTACATAATGTACATTGCCATGAAACATTAATCATTAAATTCTACTTAAGCTCTTTCCTTAGAGGATCCTGAAGAAGGGGGATACCTAGGCCACTTCCCAGTGGTAAAATCACATTCCCATTTGAGTAATGATGCATGAATATGCTTTGAAGTGCTTTAAAATACTTTGCAGAAGACTTAGGTCACACTGCATTTAGCAATTTTTCCACTTTTTTTGAAAGGACATTTTAGAAACAAGGCCAGACCACAGCACTGGGATCTGTGTCCCTACCCTTTGTGAGAAGTGCATGGGTTCTTTAACATTCTCTGCTAGCCAGTACAGGGAAGATGAAGAGGACAGGCCTATAGTGGCCTGCTGTCTACAGGGATGCAAGATGAGGCTTAAAATTGCGACAAGATGTGGAATATGAGAAATTTTGAAAGAGGAATGAAAATAGGAGGGCAAAACCAGGATATGCTCTGTTTCAAAGACAGGATAGGGGATAAGATGTGTACATTTGGGATCGTAATTTAATTTCCAAGTTACACAACCTAAATACTCTTAATTAAACTGTCCCTCTTGTTTTATTGTTCTGATCAACTATAATGCTCAAAACAGCTCAAGCTGACCCTTAAACTTTTCAATAGGAGGATTAGAAGATGATAATCATACTCTATAGTAAAAGATTGAAATTGAAAAATCTGTATCACTCTTATCAAATATCATGCTAAAAAGAGCTTAAGAGCTCGAGCCAACACTCTAACTGTTAAATAGGAGTGGGGGGTTGGAGTACCAATGGTGTTCCCCTCCCATCTGTCCCTCAGGTTTATTCCTGCACCAAGCCATCTCATGTAGTTTGACTTTGTTTTTGGCTTTTGGTTTCTTCCCTCAAGCAAAACAAATACTCAAAATTCCAATTCCATTCAAGATACAGTCGAAGAAGAAGAAACTCGTGGAGGTGCTGGTGCTGTAAGTTTATGAACAATGGTATCCAATTCATGTTACAGTAGATACAACCAGACCACACTATGTGTTTGTGGTTAATAATTGTTGACATGAGACAAACAAAATCTATGAGGGTTATGAACAAGCTCTGGAAATTGCATATCTAAATTACAGCTTGGTCTGAATATCCCACTAACGTTATATAAAATGTTAACTCATTTGTGGTATTTTTTCGCCTTCATTAAGAAAAGAAAAGAAGACTTCCTTTCTTCTCTTATTGGCCTCTGGCCGAAAGCAATTTTGTAAAAAGACCCTTCAAACGGCCCATAAGGGCTAACAAATATCCCAAATGCGTTGATTGACATTTCATTTAACTTTACTAAGATATTCAGACCGAGATTCAATTTAGATATGCAGTTTCCAGGGCTTTATTCATAACCCTTATAGATTTTGTTCGTTTGCCGGTTCCTGAGCAGTTAACGTTCATTTGATCCATGTCCAAGGGAGAAGAGTCTGAAAAATTTTCATGAATAAAGTCTTCTATCATCATGGACGTGCTTTTTGCATCTCGTCGCTCATCGAAATTTGTTCTTCGGGTTTCTCCGCTGCCGGGAACGAAGGCACAAGGTATGGACCAGCAAGACCGACAGCAATTCCGACTAACCCTAAAATTAGTCTTGATCTCCGTGGCAAACGTTTGTAACTAGCAATGAATCCCATTCTTGGCCTATAAGATGATCCAACACTCGTAACTAGTCGTACAAAAATGTTACTTCCTCTTGGGGCCTCCTTGTGGTAATTTTACTGTCTGATTTACTGTTATAATATGTCCTTTGTCGTGTCCTATAATGCAAGAGGATGAAGTACATTCCTTAAAAGGTGTAATGCAGTATATACGAATAGCCTAGGTACGTCATGTATGGGGAATTATTATCTACTCAATAAATATTACACATTACACTCTTCATTCATACAGTAATGTCCATAATAATTCCCCATACACGACATACCTATAAGAAAATAACTATTGACCGCTGACCAAATATCAGCACTCCTACCCAGTCTTTCATCAATGTGTGGGAATGTTTGTTGAAGCCCCTTCACTAAAGTTGTAGCGGAAATATGCGTCTGAAAAAATTCTTGTTGCGTTATTATCCACCAGGTGAGGATAATTATGATACACTTGTGTAATTTTTAGAATTGCATATAAAACTAAGTCAAAGAGCTTTCAATCAAACAGCTCTTTAGTGGCTTTGGAATGCTAGCAAAGAGTTACGCTCTTCTATCGAAGTTGCTATGGGTGCTGGTTTGCCAAAAATTTTGCAGACAGTCCATCTTTTTGCCTAGCATCGCACATCAAGCATCAATTGTTGAAAAGCTATGTTCTGTTTCCAGTATGGCTCTCCATCCTTTGCATGACCTCTTTCATTCTCTTTTATGCTGGTTTAAGCACCTTCCATGTTGACATAAACAGCTAGTCATTCACACCTTCTCAACCTACGTATAACTCCTTACCAGTTGAGTCTGCTCTTTGCTTTCTAGCATGCTTCAGTATCAAATGGCATCTTCCAGTGAGATTATATCACAGCCTTCAAAGGCATGAAGTGGAAACACACTAATGTCAACATCACTGAGGCCCTAAAAAAATTTCAAGTAGATTTTTGTAGTAAAGTGTTTTGGCTTGAGCTGTGATCTCTGAAGAGTCTATTCCCAGCTGATATTTGTGAAATTTGGAGATTGCACACATAGTACTCATGCTATCTCAGTTTTAATGAAAATGCTAATTTTCCTTCTGTGATACCTTAATAGGGTATTCCACATAAAAGAAAATGTGCCCACTTAATGCCACAAAATATAATATTTGTTTGACATGAGAGGTGAAGTTTTTGTAATAAGTAAGTGACAGAGAAATTTCAAGTGCTCTTATAAAGCTGTGGATATCACATGATCAGGTCAAATTCACTTACAGCTTGTTCGTTGTATTCTGAAATACTAATTAAATAGTGTCTGAATCTGAGTTTTCTTGAATATTAGATCTGCTGTTACAGAATACATGATTTGCTCTTCTTGAATGTCAGATATGCTTGCCTGATTCCTTGGTGATGGTAGAGGGGTGTAGGGCATGCATCTCTGAATTGTACCCTAGACTTCTAAACACCTTTCCTTTACTTTGAATCTATAAAGACTTGATTGAAATCAAATTAAGTGAGTTACTAAGTGCATGTGAGTTGAGAGGGCAGTGAGAAGTTACTTTGCATTTCAGGCTGGTTTTGAATTCTCATTTTTGTGTTTAAACCTTTGGTTTTTAGGCATAATTCTGGAGTATGAACAATCTGGCATGATGAAGTCAAAATCTATAGATCTGTTGGATTTAAAACCCACGTGAGTACATATTTTTTTGAGAAGTAACACATGTAATCATCATTTAGATTTGTAATTTATTACTATTTCCTTTTCTTGCAGATGAAGAATTAAAATTACAAGTATTACAATATGTAATTAGTTTGAATTGTATTGTGTCAATTAATGAACAAAGTTGAAATGAATTTTTAGCTGGTCCTTTTACTTTTTGAAGCGGATTATTTCTAGCCTACTCAACAACTTTTTTGTCATCATTTAAAGTACTACTTTAATTGTTACAGGTAATTATTGCAAGTAGTTATGTAAATGCAACATGCATATTTGTGCTCACATGATATTTGTACAGTTCTAATCATTACTTACAGTATTGTTTTCCAAAATCATTTCATCAAACTATTGATACACAGTTTCCTTTTTGGAATTATTGCACTATTGTTTGAGCACACAAATTTTTAAGGAGGGTTTTAATGATGATGCTCATCTTACAACAAACAATACACAATCAAAATACATGTGTAATGGAATAACACCCTAGGGGGTTTTTGTTTTAGATCTGATGTTGATTTGCTACTTGATGACATTATTGCAAAGGAACCCCTTATTACACCCTCAAAGATGGAGCAAGTGAGAAAACTGATTCTCAGTATCCTTTTTTGTAAACATTGGATGTATTTGGGATATTAAATAGAAAATGAATATTCAAATGACTGTGTATAGTGACTGTAACAGGTGTCCAAAATTTTATTAAGGCAGTACTTGTGGCTCCATTAGTCTGTACTGTTAACATTTAACCAAATATATCCATTTGGAACCTGTATAATACACAAGTAGTATCTATAGATAAAAGTTGTAAATGTCAATTTTCATAAGAGCTGGTCTTGAAGGAAAAAAAATGTAGACATGGATAGAAATGGTTCAAACTGTGACATACTGTCTTTAAAAAAACATGTCCTCCAGGTACCATAATAATTTTTTCATCCTTATCTCCAAAAAGCACATTTTGATTGTTACAACAAACTTGCTTTAGATTTCAAAGAGTAACCTATACGTTTGAGAACTATTTTCAATAATGTTGAATATTAAGTCTTGTTTGGTACCTTGGTGGTTTACTTGGGGTGCATCAATGTCTTGCCTCTTTTTTTTAGTATCCTGGCAACCTGCCTTGAGGAGTGAATTTTTTTAGGGATAAATAGAGCAGTGGCTGTTTTTAAACCACTCCTTGTTTTTCTTTCCATTTTACGAGTTTACAACTAGGTTACTGAGTTTTTCTTCAAATTGGTAGAATTTGCAGTTAAAGTTTTTTTTCTATTTGAAAAATACATTTTTGGAACAGTTTGGTTGATATCTGGAATCTAAAAACATGATAAATGATTAATGTTTACACTAACTTCCTAGCAGCAGAACTGACATAAACCTTGAGTGGTCTCTTGAGTTCACATCTCTTCTTAAGAACAGTGCACCAATGTCTGAAGATAAATGTTTCATCATATCATCACTTGCATAATTTAAATACCTCTTAACAGGAGGAAAACAAAAAGGAGTAAATAAAAGAAAACACCATTCAAATAATTTAGTAAAGCCTTTAAAGTAAGGATCAATTATTTTTCACTTCTTTGGGCCAATGTTTTTTGTTACTAAGTAAATGTGAATGGACCACTCTATGATATTAATAAGATACAGATAATAACCATTTGCCTTCTGCATAAACCTGCTATTTATAATTATTTGTGTGGTTTAGCTTTCTTGCCAGTATCAACTTACATGATATAATAGATGTCATTTTTTAGTGTAGTATTTTAAAGTCAGAGGTTCCACTGTTGTTGTGATTCATTTAATCTACATTTAAAAATCTCAATTTTTCCTGCTTCTTTTGGTTGTTTTCCTTTAGTAATAATTCAACAGGGCTGAAAGAAAAACAAGAAGAAAGTGTGGATCACCATTTCTATCTTTTCAAGGTACTGGTATTCAGATATACTGTTATTGATTTCATCCTTTTGAGGAATTGTTCCTAGCGGGTTTATCACTCGTCAGGGCTTTTAGATAGGGAGCATATTGGAGAGGGGAACAAACCCAGATGTAGAACATTTGGGTTATGTACTTAGCTTAAAACGTAATGATTCTAAATACTGTAATATACTGCCCACTGTATATCTTAGAGTATTGTAGGGGTAAAGGATTTTTCTAGTATTCAACATTTTGCATTGTTCTGAAACAGTGCCTCCTGAAACTGGTATGTTTCCAAACTACTGATAAGTATGTAGGTACAAAAGAACATTCCTCTGATCTATAACTCTATCTATAAATCACACTTAGCTGTTGAATTTCTTTCTAGTTGGCATTGAAGAAATTCATTTTGTGGAGTATCAGTATTCCTGTGGAAAAAAAAATGTGTTAGGTTACATATAACTCCTCAAAGAACTTTTGAGCAGCTGAAAATCTTGCCAAACATTACATCATTTTGGTATAATCCAAGCCAGGCTAAGAAAAAGGAAAACTTAACTAACTTTCTAAACCTTAGACTTGAATTCTTCTTCTGATAAAGACACTTACTGTTCTGGTTGTAAAACACAGGTGTATAAAGAGATGTTCAGGGGGTTGCAGAATTCATGGTTCTCCAATAGATGTGACAGATTTAAAGAATATCTTCAAAAATATCTGAAAAATTGAGGATTAAATCAAATTTAAAATTTTGTTTTGCAGGAGTACTCTGGAAATTAAAACTAATTTATATATGTATTTTAAACGACAATTTAGGCGATGAGGTGTAGTCAAAGTCTCAACTAACTTAAAGTACAAGTTACTCCTTTTTTACCCTAAATAGTTTCCCTTTTCATGCCTTCCATTTATTTCTGTGAAGGTTTTAAGAGCTCACATCCTTCCACTGACCAATGTGGCTTTCAACAAGTCTGGAACAAGGTAATTTTTTAATAGTATTTTGGTTTTAGATATAAAGTACATCACTAGACTTCAATTTGATAACGTTCCTTCAAATGTTAACTTCTAAAAGAGGCACCACTGCAACTTACTACTTCTTTATTTGGGGTGAACAGCACAATAAGAAATTAAAAGAATTTCAGTTTTGGAAAAGGAATATTATCTACACTTCCATTCTTTTGTACTTGAAATGTGTAAAATTGAAAATGATTTAAAGGTGATTTGCAAGATTCCAATTTAAAATGTAACTTATTTTTAATCAACCTCTTCATAAGCATTGCCACCCTGTAACCATGACCTGTTATTACACAAAAATGATCATTGAGGGCTTGTTTTAGTTAAATGCATAAGCAATGCTTTTGAGGAGTAATCAGATAAAGTATTTTGTTGACATACATTGTGAATTTGCCTTTCCTTTAGTTTCATAACAGGAAGCTATGATAGAACTTGTAAAGTGTGGGATACAGCCTCAGGAGAAGAGCTGCATGTACTGGAGGGACACAAAAATGTTGTCTATGCAATTGCATTCAACAATCCCTATGGGTAGGTAGTCAGTTATGCCAGGATATTGTTTTGTTTGCTGACTCTTGTGAAATGAGAATCAATTGGTCTCTAAAAAAGGAATGAAAGTTGCTTGTCAAGGATTTCCCAGAAATACACACACACCCACACACACAACCTGTCTAGCTCTCCCTCTCTGTATATGCATCATCAATTACTAAATTGGTGCCAGGTAACTGGGGTATTTATTCAGAAGGTTTTAACTAATAATTTTACCATAATTTAATCAGCATTGCTCTTTTTTCTTCCCTTACAGGGACAAAATAGCAACTGGATCATTTGACAAGACATGTAAGGTAAATTGTTTCACAGCTAGGGATGAGTCGGAGTAGAGAAAATGGTGACTGTGTAAAAAGAAGATTATAGACTAGAAAAGAAGTAAAACATGTGCGCCAGTTGTATCAACACCTGCAACTCTTTCTTTATACAAAATAGTTGCATTATCTAACTTATTCTGACAGTTCATTATTTTGACTTTTTAATGATATTACATTTGCCTGTTTTTCTCATATTTAAAAATCATAATCTTTGAGTATATTAACTGCAGTAATGTTGTAGTTATGCTAGGACTGATCATATCATTGCTTGTTTTGATAGCTATGGAGTGCAGAATCTGGGAAGTGCTTCCATACCTACAAGGGACATACTGCAGAAATTGTAAATTATGATGTGGTGAAAGTGTAAATTATGTTGAGGTTCTATTTAAAGAGTATGCTTCAGATACTCTGTAATCTTTATCCATTCCTTAAAACAATGTCCATGAAATTATGAAACTGCTTGTGGTTTGATATTGGAAAGAGTAATCTTACCTTTCTAACATTTTTTTTCAATTTCCAAATAATGCATTGAAGAATGCCACCATTTTGAGTATTGCAGAGCAACTTGCCAGCTAAACTGTGAGGTAACAAAGTCTGTATCCTCCCTTTCTATATCTTGGTGATCTGTTTGAAAAATTTGCAGATACACAAAAGGTACTATTGATTTACTTTGATCTATTTTGTCTTTTGGCATCACTACACATCAGCACAGCAGAAGTTGTTGGTGAATGACACTTTGTGGTTGTTTGCATGTGTGTCTAGGTTAATATAGGAGTTGTTCTTAATTCAAAATGGTGGAATCCATAGTAAAAAAAAAAGTTTTGATGCACTAAAAAACAATTTTTTTATGGTTAGTACATACTGTGTAGGTAAAAGGTAGATGGTTTAAAGTTTATAAGAGAAGCATGCCTCCTATTTAGGCACAGGTATTTAAATGTACCAGAACTGCTAAGTACCACACTCCTTCACAATTCTCTCTTCCTCTCAAAGTAGGGATTTCTGGGACATCAAGATCAGTTTTTAAGTACCTTGTGATGTTTTTTTTCTTCCCTCCTAGAAAGCCTTTTGTCATTTCTCAAGTTGAGAATGATTGAAGTCAAACAAATTTGTCATTTCTCAAATTGAGAATGATTGAAGTCCAGAAAATATTTGATAACATGATTTCAAAGAAAAGTACAAGTCTTGCATGGTGTTATTTTGTTAGGTGTGTGTGGCATTTAATCCACAAAGTACAGTTGTGGCCACTGGAAGTATGGATACAACAGCCAAGTTGTGGGATGTACAAAAAGGAGCAGAGATATCCACATTGTCTGTGAGTACACTTTATATTTCCATATGAAAAGCAATAATTATCTCAAATAGTCAAGTGTAGGGCACATAGTATGATATATCAGTTTATAGGATGTGCATGGTTTTTGGCACTAAACTGTTGTTTTGCTCACTTACACTACCAGGTATTCTTGGCTTTGAATGTAATGTAGGATTAAAAGTTAACAAAGCTCCTTTTTTTAGTAGTACCTTTATAATGAATTTATTTGTTTATCCCCAGGGTCATTCAGCAGAAATTATTTCCTGTTCATTTAACACAACAGGAGATCAACTGCTCACAGGCTCATTTGATCACACTGTGAGTGTTTGGGATACAGCAACTGGAAGGTTTGTTCTGTAGGCATGTCTTTTTATTACATATGTACCACTGATAGATCATAAAAAACCATAAATTGCAATGAAATCTCTCTGACTAAATGAAAATGTGTTTTTAATTTGTGGCAGTTTAGTTGATTTTTACTCTCTGAGTTACTTTTTGTGAAGGACTACCAATTTACCTACAGTTTTTAGATAGCACTACATCAATTTATGAGGCAACCAGAGTCATTTGAGTGACTTGAA